GCATTGGCTGGCAGATGGAATCCGGAGAAGACCTAACCTGTGAGATCTAATCGGTCTATGGGAGGTAATCGGCAGGAGGCTATTGGGTACCTATCAAATGCTACAACATCAGGGGTGTACTGCTGGGGGTTTGCAGGGGTTCAAGAGAATCTCTAGCTAAGATTCTGTGCAGTTCGGAGAACTCAAAATCCTACTTCTGGCTGGCCCCGTCCATCCCTCCCCTCCCAGGAGTCCCTATGCGGCCTGTTTTGGATGCACGGTAAGTGCAAGGCACATGCAGAGGCTTGGGGAGTGCGAAAAATGGACCTACAGGAAGTTTGGGAAGGCTGGAAATGGACCTGTTTTCACCCTGTAGATGGCTCCCGGAGCCTGGGGAGGCCGTTTTTGCCCTCCTAGAGGCTCGAATTAAAGCTTCTGGAGTCCCGGGAGGGCAAACTCCCCCCCCCCCCCAATGGTGTAGGAGGCCAACTGGGCCAGGCCTACCTTGGCCATGCCCATCCAGCAACCGGGCACAGAACCCCTTGCTAAGATATTTGAAGCCCACCCCTGAACACAGTCTACCAGCCTGGAGCTTTTGCAATATTGCAGACTAAGGCATTTCTCTCCTTGACTGTGGTATTTTGAGAGGGAAGGTCCAGAACATTCCACTTCAAGAAAGACTGATGTAGGCAGGATTAACTTACCTAGCCTGTTGGAAGGATTCCTTTTAAACAACATCCTCAGAAGGCTCTGAGCTTCCGGGCTAAGGAATTGTGGCATTCCGAGTTTCGCTCTGGAAAAAGAGGAAATTTGGATTCAAGAAGCGCTTTCTAATTTTAAAAAAATCAAATGTAAACAATTTACTCAAAGGGGACTGTGAGCATGTGTTTTCCACTGCACAAGTGATAGTTCAAAGAGACAAGAAATTATTGTTCTAACTTAAGTATTCTAAATAGATGCATTTTTAGCAGCTTATAACAAGACAGCACTCTTGGCGCCAGCTTCAATCCTGCAATACCTACAATATCTTTTTTAGTTTTCACTTTTCACTTTAAAACAAGCATTCCATGATTCTTTTAGCTCAGAAACAGGCTATAGCTGTCTGCTTTTGTGATGGGATTGTATGCAGAATATTTTTTTTTGTCTGGGAAACCTTCATATGTCACCAGATGATAACGCAACCATTAGATTGTTGGTCATGATTACTAGAGTCAGCTCACCTCCCATAATCAACATCTGGAAAGCCAGGGATTCCATTTCCCTGCCAAGCAGTTTAATATCTCTCAAGTGTCCGTTTGCAGAACCCAAGCCCTCAAAGGTCTCACACAGCTGGAAAGTCAAGGTTGTGTATGCACCTTGTCTTGAAAACAATCCTCCAATCTTTTATTATCAGACTCCAAAAAACAGGAAACTGATATAAGATTCATTTTAAATGCTCAAAGAGCTAAAACTCATGTCCTAAGCATCAGTTTTCAAAATCTTTTAAAATGTTTTATTAAGTTGTATAAATTGCATAAAAGCCACACAAACATGTCTCTCTCTCTCTCTCTCTCTCTCTCTCTCTCTCTCTCTCTCTCTCTCTCTCTCTCTGTGTGTGTGTGTGTGTGTGTTCAAATCATTGAGTGCCTGGATTAGGCCCCCACAATTTGTTTGGCAAGATTTCATAAATCCTTCACCACTGCCTTCTTCCTAAAGCTAAGAGTGAGTGTCTGGCCCAATGTCATTCAGCTGCAGAGGTGGGTTCCTACCAGTTCGCACCTATTCGGTAGAACCGGTTCGTCAAATCTACCGAACCGGTTAGAAG